GTAGTTACTAAATTAACCCGTACCATTACATAGAAATTGTTACAGCTTTCATTCCATTTAAATCCAGTACTAAATCCATATTTAATCGTAGGAACGCTTCCTGTAGTTAACCGCGACTTGAACACAGCGGTGATTTGATTGATGAAGTGTTCAGAGGTAAACAGTTTATTTGAAATGTCATTGAAAGTCTATTTCCTTTCCTTTACTGATGTACTTGTTTACTTACAAATACAAAGTTTGTAAAGCATCATAATAGGATCAATAAGGAAATGAAATATCGCGTGATGCACGTTTCATGTGACTTTTACGACATATTTGTCCGTATTTATTGTGCGATTTTAGAACCATTATAAAATAAGTGTCGCAATAAAATATTGTGTCATAGCTGAAGGTCTTTATAGATACGTATATTGTCATCTCCTTTAATCAATCAAATGGGTCAATGCACCGAGTTTTTGTTCTTAAAATAACTCTTATTATCCGTCACCTTAGTCATCAATCCCTTCTTGATCATGTCGTCTATCACGCACTACATTCATCACTTTCTAGGTCTACCTCTACTCTTCTCCTCCTCATAACATGCCCATATCATATTAACCTTTTACTCCTTAGTTTCTCAACCACTGGAGCTACTCTCAAATTCCTCTAATATAGGTACGTAGGTATATTGTATACGACGATAAAAAGAAAATGTAAGAATTAATAATAAGCATCATATGCGTCCCCTTCTTTGTTGACTAAAGGTAGGTAACGCATTTACATATGCAGAGGTCATTTCGCTATTTTGACGAATTCCGGTGGCAGCTTTCTTGTTTGTCACCTTATAGTATACAACATACAGACGAATTGGGAACCAAATATTTGGAAGTCGTTTAAAAAAGCTACATTTATCACCACTTGCGCAGCATATATCATAATCACAATAATCTATTCTAAGGAACTGTAGAGTTGTTTTAATAAACTTTACTATTATATCTCTCTCTCTCTCTCTTTATGAATTTACTTTTTGATAAAACGAAATTAAAACTCTCGAACATATTCTCACAGAAGTAATTAGGAGCTGCAAAAGGACAACGTACTTCTAATTTTGAAAGTTTGCACATTAATTTTAATGAAAGCAATGCCAACAAACATCAACTTTAATTAAATGTCTTCTAAGAGCTCCCGCACACCTTTGATTACACTATCGCACAACGGTTTTGTCGCGCTTTGATTTCTATCAACTTATATGCATGTTGCGCACACTATACGATTTTTAGTTATGCAACTAAACTTGAATTTGCTGTTGATTGGCTGCAAAACAATCGACAATCGATATTGTGCGATAGTTTAGTCAAAGGAGTGCGCATGCTTTTACAAAGTAAATACGATATCGTGAAAAAAGTTTTTCAACCTGTGTTTTGAATAAAATTCGAACATCATCAGAATGTTTAATATTAGTTAATAAAAACAGTATAAATAAAAATAGTAACAAATCAAAAACTGCTTTTTTGACCTGCTTTTACTCACTAAAGAGCCCTCTATGGACATCTTCTAGTGCTACAGGCTCCGGAACCTGACTCCTTATGTTTCCCTTCACCACTTAGAGGAACAAAGATTTCTACCAAAATGTTTTTTGGTAGAAATCTTTGTTTTTCTGTACAGTGAAGTAAACATGAATACATTTTATTTAAATCCGTATATAAATAAAAGCTACAACTTTAAGAAATGAGGTTAAAATAAACTTCCTCCTAATTACACAAATCTCAAAGTTAAATTGTCTCTCAGAATCACATTATGATTTCTTTGCGGAAATCTTATCAAGGCATACATTAAACTTTTACGTTGACTTTTTCATCCGACTTTTAATTAAGAATTATTAACTTTTCCTTTGTTTCCTTTTAACACTGAATACATATTTTTTTTAACATTCTATTAACCTATTTGGACGTATTATAACATTTTACTAGACCTGAAATAGACATGGTATCGTTTCATGACAGACTTTAAATGTTTAAATCTAAATATGTTATTTAGCAATTCGCAAATTGAATCCGATTCCAATAATTGCATTGTATCAGACTGTCTAATTGTTACAATTGTTACTTTGATTCCTATGAAAACTCGTATGCATATGGAAGTGCGCACAAAAGTTATTAGATTTTTATTCGTAGTTCGTAGTAACTAAACAGTTCAATGTGATGCGAAGCAATCGACAATCACATTACAATAGTGCGAAGTTTAGTCAAAATTTTGCACAGCAATGGTCTTCTGAACCAGTGCTGGTTCTAACTATGCTAGCGCTGAACGATATTTTTACATGTTCTTTTGTTATTAAGAGGGTGGGGTAAAAATGTCATGTTAGATTGTAGACCTGTAAGATTCTTTCCATTAGGCGTCCTGGGCGGCCATGATCCGCTACACTAACGTCAGTACTGTCCTGAACAAAGTTGTGGTACTTGCATGTTTCATAGCTTTTATACTGAAGGTGGGTTGCATCGAATAAGCGAAATGTAAACTTTATTATTCCATGACCGTGCCATTCGGAGCGGATATAAAATAGTTTTTTTGCAAGCCGAGCACGAGACGAGAGTGCATCTGTATAACAATAGGTCGCAATACAGATCGCACGAATGGCTTGCGATGCTGACTTGTTACATTTGCACTAGTATTTACTAACAGCAACGTTATTTAAGCTCCATTTATTGATAACTTAGCTATTGTACCACTCTCATTACGAGTGTGCACATATTATAAATGAAAAAGTTTAGATTGTTGGATGGATGGATGTTTGTTAGAGTTTCTAGCCCAAACTGAACGGATCTTAATTCAATTAGGCATAGATGCTGAGGATAGTATGGTAAAACACATACTTATTTTCATTTTTATTAATTCCACACGGGAAAAGTGTTTATGTTAAAGTACGCGATAGCTAGTGTTTAATATTTCTTGTGATATTAAAAGAAATCGTAAACCTAAATACATCATTGTTGAGTATGATTTAGAAAAGAAACAAGTGACTTATTATTTTCATCAATAAATAGTCTATTAAGTCCTTTAAGACCAGGTTATTAACCCATCTTTTGAAGATCTATTTTTTAAGGTTTATTTCCCTTTTTTATTTACTTTCAATCGGATTGATTTCTGGGACAAAGTAGTAAGTGAGCATTACTCATGGGAATCATAGGACACAATAAAAGCTATTGCATTAAGACGTATACGGCAATAAGTGTTTACTTTGTTTTACGGCATTTATTTACGGCTTTACTTTATTACGACAGTCAAAATCTATGACTGTACTAAAGATGTCTCAAACTCTGATAATAATTTACTTGGTTGTAATTTGAATGATTACATTCATTTAAACTATAAGGGCGTGCGCACACCTGAAACTATCGCACAATTGTTTAGTTTCGTTTTGATTCCTATCACCTTATATGGAGGTACACTAATACACATACTACTCGATTTTTAGTTGTGCAACTAAACAGTTAAATTGACTCGGAAACAGTCGACAAACGCACAACATTTGTGCACAGTTTAGTCAAAGGTGTGCTCCTGCACTTACACTTTTGAAATTAAAAAAAATATCTCGAAATAACACTCAAACACCTGTTCATTTAACGTATTTATATTTTCCCATTGTTCTAAATGTACCCGTAATTACGAAAGAAACAGCTCAAAGTTTTCTTAAGAAGTTTTCTTCGTAACAACCTTTTTTGTTTTGTTTATTCCCGTTTATATTAGCAGCATTTTATGTCCCCTTTTATTTTGCACTGTCACCATGAATGCCCTTTTGAGGGGCTGCATGAAAATTGCACTGAACGTATTCACTGTTTTACATTGGCTTGGTTTTTAAAAGCACGTCTAAAGACATGTTACTACTTTCTAAAGTATCCGTACTTATATATTCATCTTCGTTTGCTTTTAAAAAGAAAAGCGTCTTGTAAAAGAAAAGATGATCATTTTGAAAAGTTAGGGTTTTACCATATAAAAGATGTTACGAAAAAAATAGATATGTTTATATAAAAATCGTTAGTTTTCATTTAACTAATTTCCCTTTTCATATCAAATTTCAAGTTTTTCGTTCATCTTGATTAAGATTTATCTGCCTTAATAGAAAAAGGAAATTGACATCCGACAGCTACGAAATTACTGATATAAAATGACATCATAACAAATTAATCGACAAAATATAGATTGATTTACCTCAAACATTTACTTGCTTTTGTAAGCAGATGCGATCAAACACATTACTCAAAATACCTTTTAATAAAAATGATGCCATTATTGTTAAAGAACTGTAGCAGCAATGTTTGCCCGCAAAATTTTGAAATAGGCACAAATCGCAGAAAGAGAGGTTTGGAAATCATTGAAGCAGAAATTACTATTATTGAGTAAACTAGCGTTCCCAATGACTCTGTCTGAATTAAAACAAATACAGAAGTGAGTAGCGTATGTATCAAGACTATCCTCCACATCTGTACCAAATTTCATCAAAATCCATTCAGCCGTTTAGGTTGCAAACTATAACATCCATCCATCGAAACTTTCGCACTTATAATATTAGTATGAAGTATGATTATAAAGCGTGCTACATACCTTCAGTTTTAACTGATCTATATAGTTATGACTCGGCGTGTGCAGCGGGCTTTATTAATATCAATACCGAAAAATATTTGTTTTTTTTTAAATCGAAGCATATCTTATCATGCAGAGTATGCTTTCGTAACTTCAATGCATTGGTTAATGTGCATTATTAAAAAAAAAACTTTGTCTGTACATTTAAAAATTTTATACGTATTTCATGTCTCATACTTAATTAGGGAAAAAGAACGTTTTGCGTATCTCTTATAAAGTAGTACAACTTAAAAGTAATTTGTCGAAAAAAAATCTAAAAAGAATATTTAGATTGGTAGTGAGTTTTATTCCTTAAAAAGAAAGCGAATACAGCCAGGTGTATTTACTAGTTAACATAATATTTTAGATAAGAGTTTCTTAACACATTTGCAGACAGATTCGATAAGGTCGTCGGATTATGAAGTGTACGTGGAAAGTTTCTCCTATCTTTCTTTAAATTTAGCGTTTTTGGAATTGGCAAATTCAATTGCTGACAGAAAATGAGTTTTAATCAAAAAATAGTTCTTGTGACTGGCGCTAGTAAAGGCATCGGTGCAGCGATATCTGTGAAATTCAGCATAGAAAAGGCTAGTGTGATATTAGTCAGTAGGAATGAAAATAAACTACAAGAAGTGGCGCAAAAATGCAAGGATTTTGGAGGTAATCCTTTAGTTATAGCAGCAGATGTAACAATAGACGCTGACGTTGAAAGAGTTATAAAAAAATCAATTGAACATTTCGGAAAACTGGATGTACTAATTAATAACGCAGGATTTGCTGCTTCAGAAAGTATACTTTCAAAGAATGCATTAAAAGTATTTGATAATATAATGGCAGTTAATCTTCGAGCACATGTATTGTTCACGAATCTTGCAGCAACGTATTTGATCGAAACAAAAGGATGCATAATAAATATATCGAGTATAGCATCTACAGGCATCTGCCTCAGAACTAATTCGCAATATTCTGCATCTAAAGCGGGCTTAGATGCGTTTACAAGATCGATTGCTATTGAATTATCTCAATATGGAGTGCGAGCTAATTCAGTGAATCCTGGACCAGTAAAATCTGATTTTATGGAAAGTATGGGTTTGAATGAAGATCAACAAAAGCAAATGTGGGAGATGTTGGTGAAAGGGACAGCGTTGAACAATATAATAGAACCGGGTGAGGTAGCTGATTTGGTTTTATTTTTGGCGAGTGATAAAGCAAAAAGTATAACAGGATCATCTTATGTGATTGACAGTGGGGTTTTATTGAAAGGTATAATGGATGCTTAAAAGCTATGGTAAATAAATTAAATGATTACTGTTTTGTTTTTTTTTTATCATAGTTCTTATGGTATCTGTAAGTCCAGCATGTTTGTATATTAAATAGGCTATCATGATAAATAATGCAATATTTATAAAACAGTAGATTAAAAATATTATTGGTTTAACAAAGGCACCTTCAAATAATGAAATTTACTGATATCGATTGTATATAAAAAAAAAAATGTGTATGACTGTTATAAAACGATAATGCGTTTATGAGAAGTTATAAGCGAGAAAATCTACAAAGTTTTTTCTTATAATGATATACTCGTTTTATTGTCGTTTTGCGTAATAATCTCCAACAATACGTAGTCTTGATGTCTCGAAAACTGGCAACATGCTGTTTCTTACAAATTGCGGTCTCAAAGCAACAGATGTTATTATCCCTGATAATGTTTGATAGAGAATAGCTCGTTTTATCAACAATAAAAAATGATTTTATATTCAGTCTAATGTTAGTTAACATTCAATATTTTTTTATGCTTTTAGTATGAACAAACGCATAACAAGTTGCACTGTCCGAGGCATTGGGGGAATGGATTTTAAATCGGTTAGCATCATAGGCATCGCATGATCCATGCTGGGTCTAAGGAGGCAGCTACTACTAATCAGGTCTGAAGTAGTTTTTGTATCTTTTTTCATTTGTTTATTCTCTAGGAAGGGGCAGCTGTCTGCTGTCTCTGATGTCACCCACTATAAGCATTCTAGCTAAAAGATTATTGGCTTATGTTTATTGAAATTTCAAAGAACATAATGAAACATAAAAAATTGCTAGGAGCCCGTGTACGAAATAAAGTAACTTAGCGCATTAACAAAGTTACATCCGCAAAGTATAGAGAAAGCTTTAAGTGAGATAAGGTCTTTCAAAATTTCTTTAATAAATCATCGAGTTTTGTTGTTTTCCGTTCTCTTTGGGTGTCGATTAATACAATTACAATAGAAGCAAAATTTTTTAAAAACTTATTATTACGTATTTTAATCGACAATTTTTCACAAATTTTGATAAGAATTCGAATATAGTTTTTACTTTTACACCTTTTACAATTCTATTCCTATATATTAACACAGTTTCACTGGAAAAGTTAGAGACGAATCTTAATTAAAAATCACTGCCAACGCCTTCATTCAACGCTCGTTATAACTGACGTGCTGCGAATTGAAACGGCACAGTTGTTTATGCCCATGAGATATAATGTGTTTAATTCAATATATAATAGAAAATGGAATATGAGTTATTAAAATCCTGCCATTTCCTTCAAATAAATTTACTTTTAAACATATTTTTGTAAGATAATATCTTAACCATGATATCAATATAAGACAGGATTCTTAGAGTTATAGGAAAATCAGATCGATCTAAAATTAAAAACGCATTGAAAGAATTTTTGATACTCAATTAACATAATTATTTAAACCATAGATAACCATAATGATTTTGTGGTATCGAAAATCTTAAAACTCAATCTTCAGATTGCATTAGCTAGTTCCGCTGACAATGGACGGCGGTGGTACCGGTGCGATTGAATTGTATTGGGATAAGGAGATAGAAAATCCATGAGATTCAACGAAAATAGATCGAAAGCCGCACGAGCAATCGAAGTAATCCAGTTCTGATCTTTCATTCGAATGGATTGAATGACAATCAATGAACTAGCAAAGGATATTATAACTAAATTAATTAGTGAGTTACTAAAGCCAAAGTTGTAATGAATGACACCTAATTCCGGATGTTATTTCAATATGTCTTTTTTTTTCTAATCATCGATCGGAGTCGAATTATCACTCGTTTTATGCTGTATGCGACAACACTTAACAAAAATCAGCTGAATAAGGAACCTTGTCTTCTGCGTGATTTATGATACACTCCGAATAGGCATAAATCTTGAAAGTAGAAAAAACTTTTTGTCGAAATCGACATTTTTTCTGTACTAGATTTTGCAATGTCTACGTGTTTGTCGCACAGAGATTACACGCCAGCTAGTTTTAAGGCTTAACAACTAGATGGTAAAACGTCGTCATAAAATATTGTTACATCAAGGTGAGGTTATGATCTTCATTACATCTTGTTCTTACATAATCTTGAGTCAAGTCCTAATTTTAAATTCAAGTAACCTATTCGAATCTTAATGATCCAATTTCAGATTCAAGTAACCTATTTGTACAAGTACTTATCCTCCTATTGATTTGCATTTCAAAAAGTTGAAAATCAAGGTAATGTGACGCCTCAGTCGAATAACCCTTTTCTCGAAGCATTAAAAGGCACTTTAAAAATCTTATACATGTTATGTTATACATTATGTGTTCAGCTATCTATCTGTAAGTATTGTGGTTTAGTAGACATTGTTGTATAAATATGATAGCTCCATCTATTATGGAAAAATATACTTTTTTGCCTCTTTAATTTTGACTAAAAATATAATACAGTTGTAAATAATAATGAAAATACGTTTTGCCGTTTCGTAAATGAGTCCGTGACCTGAATTCCGTACAACAGACTTAATGCGGTACTTTTTAATAGGATTTCAAAACGGTAAAGCTTAGTGCCAGCTGAAATTAATTTTAAAATCCAATATCGTCACAATTCAAAAGCTTTTTTCGTCTGTTACGTTTCATACAACTCGATTCTGGCGCACGAATCAGTCAAAAGACAATTAACATTAAAGCGATTAAAATTAAAATGTAGATCAGTAGGAAAAAATGTTTAACATGTCTGAAAATAAAATCGTAGTCACATAAGTAGTAAATGAGCTAAAATAAACATTACGTTAAAACTCGCTTACGCTCAGATGTACTAGACAATTTTAGTAAAAACTTTTGCCTAGACACACACAGTTTTGATTTAACACTAACGACGGTTCAGTTAAAACTCGCAGAACTGAGCGGTGTAGTGGTCTATGTATTAAACAGGACGATGTATTAAAAACAAAAAAGAAATGTTTAGGTGTTTCGAGAATTTTCGACTCATTACATTTTGTAGAACATGTAATTTTTGTTGACATTTCTGCACCCTTGCCAGTTTTGGTTTATTAAGAGTCGTGTCTCCGCCTGTGAACCCTCATTTGATCTTATCTAATGTCAGCGCTGTCAAGAGGTGATAAAAGGTGTAAACGTTACAACTTCTTTGGTTACCTCATTTGAAATCAATAAATCGTTACTGAATCCGATTTCGTATATCCACTTGTTTAAAAATATATTTCATATTAAATTTAATAACAACGCGCAAGCCTGCTTCGTACATGAAACTTACATACTGCAAGTTGCGTTCTAAAACTTTTACGGCGCAGCCGAGTGTATATTAAATTTAATATTGAACTACACATTATCTTTCAGTCAGAGAAAAAGTATTTCCTTCGTATTTAACTCATAGAAAACCATCATAAGTAACACCGTATTATATAGAAGGACGACGAATGAGAACATTGGCAAAATATCGCACCTAACTCTATGAAAATTTGATTAAATTGTAGTTCAACATCGTCATTAGTCTTTTTCCTACGGACAATCGACTCGGTAACTCTTCCATACAATTCTATCAACACTTATATCTAAGTCCACTCTTGTCTTGTTCATTTTTCATACAATCTCTTTAAGCTTTCATTTTTTTTATATTTAATTTTCATAATATAAGGTAGCAAACGAGCAAGCGGCCAGCTGAATTCACCGAATTGGAAAGCGGCCGCTGCTCATAAACATCCGCAATTGCAGATGCGTTGCCTAACATTAATTGACAGAGGAGACTCACATAAAGAGGACAATTCCACTTCCTATGCGTCTCCTCCACCGTCAAATCCACCTTTTCTTCCCATGCTTTCCTCTTAAGAAAGGGTGGAAAGGGAAAGAGAATAAAATTAGGCCTCCGGCACCACACTCGTCAGACGAAACGCGGAATTGCTTCCACTTCATGCCTATTTTCTGTGTGGTCGTGGTATTTCACCGGACGAGCCGGCCAATTCGTGCGAAGATGTTAAAGCGGGCTCTACACTTGGTTCATCAAAATGTATAACTACAATTTGTTTTGAACAAGTTATTAGTTTAGTTGTAACTTATAGAAACGTTGTTGTGATCTCGCGGGATGTTATCTAGTAAACTTGTTACCGCGAAATGGATTTGTTTATACAACGCACTTGATTTATGATATTTACTCATACAAGATTAGAGTTACTTATTCTACTAACAAAATTTTCTTAGCTATATTTCTTGTTCATTGAATAAGATACAAAGTACAATGGGGAATACTTTATCTTTTCGTCTCGACGGATACCGCACAATAATGGTGTTAAATTACAGTCGACCATAGAGCGCTGTCTTTTTATTGGGAAATGTAGGATATTTTCTTTGATCACTATTTACAGTCTAGATCTTTATTGTGAATTCGAGGAAGTCGTGATATATTTCTTTTTATTTAGATATGCTACGAGACGCGATCAAAATCTATGATGCCAAAGAAACCGTCTTTTGTATATGTTTTTTTAGCTTTAAAATACTCCCTTGAATAATATTTCGAAGGTTTACGTAAGATGTAAATCATCAATGTTCATATTTTCAACATATAATGTAATATGTAGAGTCCCGAGTTATCGCTTCATGTATGCGAGAAAATTCAAGGTAACTTTTGTCCACAATAAATGTACATATTGCTGTCTCAGTTGTTGTAAACAGAATGACAGGGATGCAATATGTTGTCGGTATTGTCAACAGTGGAAACTCATATCAGCTTCATTTCGAACGAAATTAAAACTTAAAAACAGCAATTTAACAGTTTGAAAGTACAATTATGATACAGTTGTGCTGTTCTGGCCACGGAATTACTTTCTGCAAACCGAGCTCGAGTATTTGCTAGTTTTAAATTACAATGGAGGTCGCAGATGAAATTGTAAAATCGAAATTACAACTAGAATCTTACAAAAACGTCGGTTGAACTAAAACAAGAACCGTTCTTACAACTTTGCTTTTAATTATTAGAACTTCGTCTTGAAAAGAAATAGTATATATTTTTTAGTCTTAAGCATCAAAACGAGTACAAGACTTAAGACTTTACATTTTTAATTTGTGTATTCTGACCCAAATAATGATGCTTAAATACAATTGTTTAACAAAATGTCATAAAAAAATAACAATTGTAAGTGCAAGAGATATCGTATCTAAAAGCAATAACATTAGCTTACGTATTCATCAATGTTAACCGCAATCAAATCATTGCATCTTATTAGAGTCCTAATTACTCTGGTCGACAATCCGCAATGGTGTGATATTTGCGGTTCCATGCAATCAATGCAGTGGTTCGAAACTTATACTTCCATTAATTACATACAAATATATCAATGTGGTATTCTCAATTAAAGCATAAAAAACTTTTACCGCAACTGGCTTTGTTTCAGTCACGTTAATTTTCACTGTCCCAATATTGCAATTAGATTGAAAAGTTCACGTCATTGAAAACCAAATGATAAGATTTTATTACAAAGAATGCTTCAAATTAGAGACAAGTAAGTACTTTAAACTTATATTGAATAGCAATTTTGCTGACAAAAGCTGTCATTTTAAAGGAAGAATGGATGACGGAGGTAGAAGAAATTACTCGACCAACGCCAAAACACATAAAGTGCTCTACATCTAAGGAAAAAGAAAAGTCCTTTATGTGTTACATAAAAATTAGAACATAGTTAAGTTTGCGTAGTAAAAATAGTGCAATGTAAATATCGCGTTAGAAGTTTTTTA